CACACACACACACATATATATATATATATATATATATATATATATATAGAATTGTGAGAACTCCTGAAGAAATAGGAATTGGTTAAAGTTATCTCCCGTGCCATCCCATCCGTGGCTAGTATGCGTCCATTTGATCCGACATCTCACAAGCAAAGATTTCAGATCTCAAAGACGTTAGGTTTCATCGGTTACATGCCTTCTTAAAAATGCATGAATACTTTTTAAAATATAATGAACAATTTTTAATCAAAATATGAGTAATGTAAATTTGTTAAAAACAGTCATGAAATAAAATAAAATAAGTATCTTCCCTGCAAAAACAATACTGTAATAAAAAATATCTGAAAAGTGAAAAAATGGAACAATATTAAATGGAAGAAAAACAGAAGAAAGAAAAGACAAAATTTTTCTTCCTTTTTTTATGAGGGGTGACAAAATGTTTCTTCCATTTAACAAACATCAGGGCTAGGTTTTTTTTAGCAACTCATCGGGGCCATGTACATGGCCTGATGCCTAGCGTGTCTGTCAGCCCAAGAGTCGAATGTCTTTGTAAGACCCCCACAAAAAAAAATACGTATGCCTTTGTAAGCACTGGTGCCTGGCCCGTTAATACGGCCCGACCTGTGCACGCTATGATTCAGGGATTCGTTGCTTCCCACTGAAAAAAATAGGTACTACTTCCTGTTGGATTATGGATAGGCTTAAGCCCATATAAGACACTAATCCCTGGTTAATCTTGAGGCCATGTATGAGATGGCAGGTGGTCGTAAGTTTAGTCCCACCTTACTAGTTGAGGAGAGTTAAGACCCCTTTATAAGAGCTGCTCTACCACTTGCCATTGAGAGCTTGGGAAGAGGAGTGGTACACGCGCGCTCCTCCTCCTCCGCCGCCCGCCGCGGGAACGAGCCGAAGCTTATTTTTGCCGCTCAGAAATGAATTAATTAATCAGGGATTAATTAACAAGTCGCTAACATGTGGGCCACTGTCCAAGACGTTGGACTGTGGGCTGACTTGCGTTGCCGGGAGTGCGACCCTTGCCGGGAGTGCAACCCTTGCCGGGAACAACGACTCCCTTGCCGGGAGTGGGCCGACTCGGTCGTGGGCCTCGCCAAGGCCCACAACTTTCTTCCTTACGGACTATATAAGAAGGCTCTGGCCAGTGAAGTAACCTAGTTCGGTTCACTCACTCCCTCTCGTGTGACCTAGCCGTCATCTACTGTTCCTCACTCTGTGCTGCCTCCGGCGATCCCATCCCGACGACCGCGTGCACGGCTGGTCGGGAGAGCAGGTGCCTCCGGAACCCTGTCGTTCGAGATCCTGCCCGGGAGAACGACAATAAGGTTTTTGGGGAGCGTCTCGACGCGACTGCTCCCGATCCGTCCCCAACTCCGTTCGCCTCCTACTTCCTCTGCTTAGACACCATGGCCGACGACGCCACCGCGAAGAAGAAGGCCACGGACGACGCCGAGACTGCCGCCGCCGCCGCCGTGTTGGTCTAGCCAACCGGAGGGTATGATCTGTTCATCCCTCGTTTACAACTACTTATGCTAGCCATATATGTGCTGCTCATAGAAGGTTCGATTCTATGGTCTGTACGTGCTAGTATGCTTAGGTATCGCTATGAGATGCATACATTTTATGCCACGCTTACTGTTTACTCGTGGATAAGTCTAATCGGAAAGTGCTAATATTTCCAACAATCCAAAAATCTTATT